TGCATCAGAGCAGACATGTCCGTTCTTCAGACTGACAGCTGTCCCAGCATGCACTGCGGCAGCAGCAGCTTCCAGGTTAGCGCTCAAAGAGCTCAGAGTATTAAGCCTGCGGCTGCCAGGGCTAACGTTAGCCCGTCTGCAGCAGCCCTCTCTCTGCATAGCCATGTATAAAGTACCGCTGGCTGTGATGGCGATTTGTTTGTCTTATTTGGCAAAATGTTCATTTGATTTGTGTTTATCCGACTGTTTTCATTATTATTGCCCCAATAAAGGAAAAAAGTCAGAATTTATTATTATCTAGAGACTATTAATAACAGGAGGTGAAATGCAGCTCCAGACGAGCTTTGGATGTGGTGATGTCATCAGTACGCTTCTGTTCTAATTGACCCAGATCTATGCTGCTCCCGTTCTCCCAGAGTCCAGACCTTCCTGTGTTCTTCTCAAGAACAGACTCTGCGAGGACACGAGTCTGTACTCGCGTTCTTGTGAACTGAGTAACGGCCAGTGTCTGCTTTCCTTTACCATCTCCACTCTTTGCCTTTTATAAAGGTATGGCTCAGATGAGGAAGTTGGCGTGTGATGGCCTGAGGAGCAGCTCCCGCAGCGAGCCACAGGTCCAGCTGGTGTCTGCCAGACAGGAGATCCTCACCAGCCTGGTGTCTGCCCTCGACTCAGTGGTACGTCAGCCGCTCTCTGCTTCGCCCTGTCGCACAGACATCAGACATCAGAGCAGGTTTTATCCTGTTTTATCTGTTCAAAAGTCTGCAGTCTGCCCTGCTTCCTTTGTTTTCTGCTATCTAGTAACATTAAGGTAATAGATGGCAGGCTTTCTAATACTATGAAATCTGGCTGATTGGAGGTGAAAATGGAGGAAATGAAGTGTAACTGAAAACTGCCTCTCCTTGCGCTGCAGTGCATGGCCATGTCTAAACTCAATGCGGAGGTGGCGTGCGTCACCGTGCACGAGGACAGCGTGATCGCAGTGGGAACCGAAAAGGGCAGAGTGTTCCTCAACTCCAGGAGGGAAATCCAAACGGACTTCTACAAGTTTTGCCGTGAGTTTCCGTCTGAGCATCGTTTCTTTTCTGCTGCCTTTAATAGACTTGTTCTCTTCTCCACAGCTGTGTGGTTGTTGCACAGTTTCTGTGGGATTTGATGTTTTTCGTGGTTCCAGGAATGTGGATTCAGCCAAAGGCTTTGCTAACCGCAGCTGTTTGCAGTTTAGCTCAGGGTTAGATTACGTTAATGTGATCAAATGAAAAAAAAGACTAAAGGAATCAGATTTTTATCTCCTTAAAACGGCACCAAGTTTCTGCAATGAATGCTTTATGCAAAAAAAAAACAAAAAACAGTTTATTGTTATGCATCACTTTAAGAAGACTTGATGAATCCTATAATAATTCTCTTTTTATTGCATCTAGACAAACCAATTAGAAGCTGCATGTGTGGGTTTATTTTAACCCTCTATCTGGATTATTAATGCAGCATTAATGATAAAAAATACTTTTGTTCATTAACTGATTAGTCTAATACCTTAACAAAGTCGAAACAATGAACTTTTGACCTTTTCATTTGATGATCTCAGCTCCACCTTTGATAAAGAATCAGGATTTCTGGATATTTGTCTGGATTCAGATGTATTAATTTATAAAAATAAACTCTAAGCGAATCAAGATTTACTTATTTTTATATATAAAATCTACTAACTAAAGATTTATTAACCAATGAGAATAAACAAAGCACCACATATAAGAGCTAAAAATGAAACAGCTTTCAAATATTTGGATGTCGGATGTTTACAGTTTGTTTGTCAAGAAAATGAATCCTAATTCAGAATAGAATAAAATCCTAATCTACAATAGAAAAATCCCTTTATTGTCCCACAGTACACACACATATACATACATATACAGGGGATGACGTTAAGGATTTTTACCACTTGCCCAAAGGGCAACTGACTTTCACATTTCATTTGCCCAGAAACCATTTTTACTTGCCCAGTATAATGATTGATAAATATAGTTCCTAATATTCATTTTTGTATCTATATCAATGAAACATGTTTGTTTTTTAAATGTTTTTTGTAATTCAGTATTTTTTAAGTTTCCAGGTTCCTGGTGTGTATCTGCATGCGTCAGATAATGAACTCCAGCCTACATTACCGTGTTAACATGCTTTTCAATCCTTCCTGCACATTCTTTTCAAACTAAACTTTGCTTTAAACTGTTGTGTGCTTGGAAAAATATAAATTATAATGTTAAAAATAAAAAATAAAAACTTGACAGGTTAAAAACGTAAGATAAATCACAAGACAGAAGTCAATGTCACAAATGAATAACTTTTATTTTAGAGTCACGGTATGTTTATAGAAGATAATACTATTAATATAATGCGACTTTTCTAGAGATTCATTATACATAGTTATTTTATTCAGGGTTTCCACAGTCTGACATCATTTCAGAATTCCCTGACTTTAACTGACTCCGGATTAGTTTTCCCTGACAAAATAAATGCAGCAACAAGACAATAATAATAACATAACAGGTCACCAATCTAACATGTTTAGCTCTATAACATTTAAATGCACATCTCCAATGTCTCAGAGAAAAACATTGAATGAAATTTTTTTTAATGTATGGCGGAAAATCACCTGTCTTTTTCAAATCACGCAAGAATGTGTACAAAACAAAAAAAAATTGCGCCGGCAACGCTTCTGGGTCGTTTTCATCGAATGTCGGTGATTTTAAAGTAATTTTGAGTTATAAATAATTTTTTTTCTTGCGATCATTGCCCGGCGGGCAAATGCAATGAAATTTGTACTGTCCCAACAATAAAAACTACATCAAGCCCTATATATATATATATATGAGAGTCATGGGTACTTGTTGATGGCATTAAAATTCTTGGTGTAATCGTTCAGCCCTAATCAGGATGTACGAAAATCAGCAGGTAATAAAAGGCTCACATCCAGTTCTTAGATTTAACATTTATTGATTATATGAAGATTTATTGTTCGAGGTGTTTTTGTACGCCTTAGATAAATGACTTTTCCTTGGCCTCAGGAACGCCGTGTCTACAGAGTCTGACTGCAGTCGGCGCCCTTACCAAAGACCAGGAGGGGGATCCTAGCAAACTGAGTAAAGACGGAGAGCATGGGAAGCAACGAGCGCCATCAGACCCGCAGTCCAACATCTTTGTTCTGAGGAAGATGGTGGAGGAAGTCTTCACAGTGCTCTATAGTAAGACTTTTCTTTGCTTTCTCAGAGCAGGATTTTAATCTCAGACTGTGACCCAGAAGCTCACGCCGTCTCTTGCTCCACAGGTGAGGCTTTGGGTAAAAGCAGCCTGGTCCCTGTGCCTTACGAGTGGATCCAGAAGGACCCCGGGTGTGTTGTGGCCCACGGTTTCCCTGAGGGAATCACCCTGAAGAAGCCATCAGAGTATGACACTAAGGCCCTGATGAAGATCCTGGAGCACAGCCACCGCATCCACTTCACAGTAAAGAGGTGAGCCTGTGGAGTAAAACCCTCTATCAGGCAGAGCCAGCTGTCGTCAGGAACACACTGTTGTTTAAAAGCTTGTATCACATGAGGAAAGCAGCTGTTTCACATCAGATTACTCATTTTAGTCTCTAATGGGCTGCAGAAATGCATGATTGTGTGTCGCTGGGAGCAGATAGCTGCTCTGGCAGACAGGCTGCAGGGTGTTCATCCTTCATGGACAGGATTTAGAGTCGATTCGGGAAATATCCAACCCCCACTACCTTTTTAGTGTCTCTAAAAGACATTTAGTGATATTTAATGGTGCTTAAGAATGCAGCTAAGAAGAATGGCATTAATATGATTCTTTTCATTGTACGAGGATGCTTTTAGGAAATAAAAATAATAGTCAAACAGCCCTTAAAGTGTCAGAAGTTTGAAACATAGATCAGGGAATTTGAAGGATTACGGACTGTAGTGGGTGTAGTTTAACAACTGGGAAAGAGGATTTAACAAATCCTGGTCCAGGATGTGTCATAGCAGCAGAAATTACTCTAAGTGTTTGATCTTTGAGGTTAAGCGAGGTCATCATGGGATACAGCGTCTAGCTGGAGTATTTATACACATCGATTACTTTCATTCTGACAGATTACAGCAACAGACCTCAAATTATGTCATGATCAACACAAAAGGAACGTTTAACTTTAGATTGGAAGCAGTGGCGGCTGGTGGAGTTTTCTATAAATTCAAAATAGACGTAAACCAAAAATCAAACGTAAACTAAGTTATCACAGCAGTATATTTATATGAATGCAAACAAAAAACATTTCATTTTATGTACAGGTTTATTTTCTGTAAATAAATCTTTCCCTTCTGAGGCT